AATGGTGGTGACTGCAAACAAGAGACACAAAAAAGAGAGAAATCAGCCACAACAGAAGGGACTGCTTCAGGTCAGTGTTTCTGTCCAAGTGTTACAGCACATAATTCAGATATTAGTCAACAATCAGTTATATTATATACCCCACTTTGGAACATCATCAACCAGCATTGTTTGTCTTAGTTATTAGTCATTTGTAAGTTTTGTTACTGCTGTGCTCCTAAAATGGTCATATTCATTTTACAAATCTTGTTACAGACATAAGTCTTGAGCCACCCCTCATTTTTCCTCGTTTCTTTTTTCTTCCAATGAGGCAGACTTTATTGTTAAATAGCAATGACAGAGCTCTCTGGGCTTTCTGAAGGAGTTTTAAAACGTTTCTTTGGAAGTTAAACTATTTTTATTTCATCAGGCGCAAGTCAAACCACGACGCAGGGAGAATCTGAAACAACTGTTCCACCAACCCAAGAGAAAAAAGATGATCAGATAGATGGAGGCGAAAGTGAGAAAGAAGAAATCTCAGCCACGGACAACAAAGACTGTCAGTCTGGAGACCGTGAGTCTGACCTTTCTGAAACATCACTGATCAGAATTCTTTTTTGCTTCAGTCAGCTAACTTTCTGTGACTCCACAAACAAAACTGTGATTTCTTTTTTACAGAGTTCAGTGAAGGAAGTACACAGTCAACAAATACAAATGAAGACGGATCCTGTGAGAACTTAGACGGTGATCGGGCTCATTTTCAGGGACACACAGTTACAGCAGGTAAATTGTTCAACCGTTCAGAGTCAAGAGAACATTTGTTACCAAATGTTTCTACTGATCAAAAAATGCTTTGATCCTGTTTAATCAGCCACAGCTCAACATGCTGACTTCAGCGACACTATTCAAGGTAAGGAAGGAATATTAAAGAGACCACGTGTGGGATCTTGAAGAGATATGACAGATTTCATGGGTAATTAACATAAATGAGTCACGTGCTTATTGCAGACAGGGAGTCGTCTAAAAAAGAGGTGCAACCTGTTGCAGAAGCACATTCTCCCGATAAGGACAGCACACAGACGGAGAAGAAAAGCAATCCTAGTCAAACTGATGGCAAACAATTGTTATCAAAAAATGAGAAACAAGTCACGATAGCGCCAAAATCAGGTTAGTGTTCCTGTCAGAGTACTGTAACAGCTGATTCAGATATTATTATGGATTTATTTGAAAGACAAAGTCTATATTTAATTTGGTTTAAAACATACATTTAGCCTCGTTGTTCTAAGATTAAAAAGGAAACTACTGCTGTAATAAAAGTTTTCTAGTCATATTTAAAGATGAAGCACTTGCTTAATCCTGTGGGACACAAGAATCTTAAGTGTTTAGAAATGTTTAGAGATCCAAAGTCTTAGGATGTTGTGAAAGTTAAACTGTTTTTATTTTGTTAGATGAAAGTCGCGTCACAACGAACGAACCATCAGAATTACCCACTTCACAAATCCTGAATGACAACGCGGATGACCAGGGCGATGAACCGAAACCTGAGCTAAATGAAAACATCTCAGCCACGAACAAGTCAGATAATCAATTTGGAGATGGTGAGTCAGAGCTTTTTGGAACATCACTGACTAGAATTTGTTCCTTAAACCTTTTGCTTCAGTCTGCTAACTTTCTATGACTCCACGAGGAAACTGGAAGTGTGTAAGTTGTTTTTTCTTTTCTTTACCATGTTTTATTTGTGTGAACTTGTTTTTTCCCTGTGAACAATTTTTCAGCTTCAGAGGAAATAAAGGACAGACCTGAGAGCCCAACACAGTTAGATGACCGCAGTAATGATGTTGAAAACATCGGTCCTATCACCCCAGAGGCTAGTCAAACTGAAGATCCACAAGTCACTAGCGGTAATCTTAGTACATTTGTTCTTTTTTTTTTAAATAATTATTTTTGTTATGAAGTACATGCTTAAATAACACTGGCCTTTTCTCTGTAGGAAGTGGAAAATACTTGCTAGCAGTTGCTATAGTAATGGCAATTGTTGCTATCGCGCTGCAGCGTTTTCTTCAGCCAGAATCTCCGCCTCAGACGAATGATGTACGGCACATAGACGTCTTCCTCAGGCAGCTGGAAAAAGTAAAGACTCGGTTTCCTAACCAGCGTGCTGAGCTCTGGAATAGGGGCAGGATCCACCTTAAGAGACACCTTCAGACCGCGCAGCCCACGGAGCCCGTGAGTCTGATTCTCACTGCAGGCCTCAGAGCTGAGAAGACGCTGAACTGCCTAGCTCGGGACCTGGCCTCCGCCTACTCTTCCGCCCTGAACGCCTCC